GGGAGAGGGTGTGCACAGGGTAAACTGCTACTGTCCTGGCCCCTTGGCCCCACCCCAGCACAGTCCCCAAGAGGTTCTGAAGAAATGAGCAAATAATGTGGTTGGATGGGAACTAATCCATCAACCAGAGGGACGGGAAGCAGGACTGCCTGACACATGGAATGGAGAGGTGGTTCACACAAGGATTTCCCAGAGTCACTTTGAGGGTGAGGTTAAGGTTAGGGTTAGGGGTTAGGGATTAGGGTTATGTTTAGTGTTAGTGTTAGGTATTAGGGGTTAAGGTTGTGGTTAAGGTTAGGGATCACTCAGTCCTGGTGGCTGTGCGAGGGTGGGGCTGGGGCGGCAGGACAGTCATAGCTTACCCTATGCACACCCTCTGCTAACTCATTTATTTTTGCATCAATCTTATTATTCCCGGTTCACCAGTGCCAGGCGGAGGCCTAGATCAGGTAATTAACTTAACTTGCTCCAGGGTCTCAGCTGGAAATAAGCAAAGCAGAGATTCTATCTCAGGCAGTAGTTCTGCAGGTCACAGGGAGCCCCAGCAAAGATACTTGACTTGGGAAGAGTGGGGAAGGGTTCCAGAACTATCTGAAACTGAGAGCAAAGGATGAAGAATTAGTCAGGGAGATGTGATAACAGTGTACCAGGCAAGAAGCTGGGAAGGAACGAGTCAGAGAAAAATTGCTGCCCTGTTCCCCATTCAGTGTTAAGACTTATCTCCAATGGAGAAATATTTACCTTCTTTGCTTTGTTTACATGAATGTCTAGCCTGTTTCATCAGAGATCAAAGCCTCTGCATTTTCTCCTTCAGCTTTTTCATAAGTTGTGACAACTTCAAAGATAACTAACTGAGCAGCTGGTTTCTGAAGGTTTGCTCACATTTTTTAGTCTAAGTTTCTAAAAGCTGGAGCCCATCTTTCTTTCTTCCCCACTGTACTTAGCACAGTAGCTTATTAAATATTTGTTAAATACATGAATAAGGGAAGGCACCATTTAGCCTCAGAAATGAAGTACAGCTATATCCAAAAGTCCTACTAGTTTATTCTGGTGCTTTGAAATGCTAGGACTTATTCTCATCAAGCTTAGTATTTTATTTGTTTATTTGTTATGAATCTTCTATCATCCTTCAATTCAAATATACATATGCTATGTATGCGACGTACATGTACGTACAAATGTGTGAATGTTATATACATATTAATGTACATTTTTTTCTGCATGGTAAAAATGAGGAAAAATCTTCAGAAATAAAGTTTCACAGTTGCAGTCAAACACTCAGAGAGGGTGCATACAGAGTGGCCCCAGCTGTTTATCCAAGGTGGCCAGAGACTCTACCTCCACATCAAAGCTACCTCAGGGAGTTGGTGATTTAATTGGTCTGAGAGAAGGTCTGGGCATCATCATTTTTTATAAAGCTCCTTAGGGTGCTGTGTCACCATCATGGAGAACTGTGAGGTCGGAGCAATGTGACTTTTTCCCAGGGAGCGGGTAAAATGAGCAGAGATGGCTCCAAAGGGTGACAGTGGGGCCAGCGTGGAGGAAGGCGATTTTCCACATAACCTCCTCACTTGTCCCTGGCACTGGGCCTCAGCATCTCTGAGCTCTGCTGGGAGACCCAGAACATGTGGCTCATCCCAGGGAGGTAGTAAATGACCATGGACACACTCTGACCTCACAGGCTGCACCCCTCCCTCCCTCCTGACCGCGGGCAACGACATAATGTGGTTTTTATTACACAGCTGCAAGGAAGGGCCTTCATACCGAGCGGTCGAATAGAAGAAAAAGGAAAACTACCCCCCGCCCCGCCACTTTGGCATTAGCAGTGAGGAAGGAGTGACCTTCTCTGTCTGTCCCAGACAAGAAGAGAAAGTTTGCTGGTTCCCTGGGGGGAACTAGGGGTTAGGGGCAGCAATACTATGGAGGAGGGAAGTGAAAGAGACCGGTGGGTTGTGTCAGGAGCCACCTTAGTCACCCTGGGTGTTCTCACCAGGCTGGAGAAAAGTGGTCAAGGTGGGGAAATTGGGCTGAGGACGTAGCTCCGTTGCAGAATCCTGGCTGGCATGCATGAGGTCGTGGGTTTGAGCACTAGTACTGAAAAAACAAGGAGGAGGAAAAAGAGCAGGAAGATGAGGAGAAGAAGGAAGAGGGAAAAAGGAAAAAAGTGTCCCTTCACATGAGATCTCTGTGTGTCTAGGGATGATCAGAGCAGAGTCTGAAACTGGAATCTTTGTGTGCTGGCCAATATTGCACACAAGTATGTGCGTGTGCATGTTTCTAAAGTTAAGTGTTCTATTTTTCATCAGTTTCCCAAAGATTAAGGATGAAAACCGGATCTGAGCAATATCCACGCTCAACTGAACACCTTCTTGTCAGATTTGTCCAAATACAGGTAGCAGGGCTGGGCCTCAGCAGACTACAGAAGCAGCTGACACTCATTCTCTGTGCTCAGCTTGTCTGCCCAGAGTTCCCACTCAAGCTTTCCCACCCTTAGATGGCCTGAACACAGCAAATTGTCACCAGTCCTGTCCCCCACTCTGGTTTGGGCTTTCTTCCTCTGTGCAAGCACAGGCGCTCTCTCTTTGTTTCTCTACATCTCCGATCTTCCCTTCTGCCCTTGGGCTCCCAAACTTTCAGCCATTTTTTCCGTTTCTACCAGGATGCAACACCCTGCCCTTGACCTGCAAGGTTCAGTGACTGTGATGTCAGACTTGAGAGACCCTCACCAACCTTCTGAATATTGGTTCCCACCCTGATATGTCATCACAATATTCTAAACTGGGAACAGAGTCCAGCACTTGTCTATCACATGTTTCATAAGGTCCATGGGAGGCCACATTATTTTAGAGAAAACCAATAGTACTAACTTATCACTACTGCACTATAATAAGAGAAAACTAGTTAACTTGTTTTAGTTGTGTGTGAGGGGGGAAGCCTAATTGCTCCCATTTATACAAGCTGCTTATCATGCATGTTTAATTCCACCTAACTTCCACTGTAACGTATGTGTGGGTCATTACGTGGGTCAGTTGCCTTTCATCCAAAGCTGAACTCTACTCAGGTATGTTCAGCTGATTCTGTGGCAAGGCAATCTGCTTTCAATTTAGGGGGAAAAATCATTCAGAGAATGTGGCTTAGACATGGAGGCAAAGGAGGGGATAGGGGCCTAACAGGCTCGGGCCCTCTGCAACTTTCACAATGAGGGTCAATTTACTTCTCTGGGCTTTCTTTTCTCCTTTCCATGGTGGAAAGCCCTGAGGATTGGCTTTCCATTTTTTTCCTTAAGCTGTAGTTCCCTTCCTTCTTTTCCTAAATTAAACATGTAGATGCCCAGTGTACAAAGCAGGTAAAAGAACAGCTGCCTCAGGGTGCTTCTGAAGTTTCATCACAGGACCTTAAAGCTCAGGTTCATCCTATGATGTATGACTTTGTAAGAATGTGGCAGGGCTAGCAAGCACCCCTATGCAGCTCTCACAGCCTTAGAGGGAAGATCCTGAATAATACCCGCATTTGGAAGGTAGCTTGCTAGGAGCATTCCCAGTGTGCCTGGAGATTAACCTGAAGGCCCTTGCAAAACCAGGTGGAGGGAAACATTTCATCCTAAATGTCTGACCATAGTGGTTAAGCTGTATACTTGCAGTTTCTTCATATTAAAAACAAAACACTCAATCCAAGGGATTTATTTTCAAATTAACCTCTCTGGATTGTGAGAATACAATAAATTGACTCAGTTATGCCTCAATTTCAAAAGAGGCAGTTTTGGAAGCTGTGGTTCCCCAAGCTCTAAAACACTAAGCCATTTGTCCTAATGACACAGCAGACTCTGAACTCTCGAATACCACAGGAATATCACACCACTGCAAATTACTAGGGGTGCTGAGTCTTCAAAAAAAAGGGAAGTGAAACAAAAGCACCGCACTGTTTTCGAGATGTGTACTGGATATGTGCACATGGAATAGTTTTTGGATTATCTTCCTGGAGGCAGAATTATTCTGCACAGTTACACAGCAATAAGTTTTCCCTTTGTTGTATCTATCCATGTATAAACACACAACCCATAGAGTGGGCTCTTTTCTCTCTCATTGAGGCTTCAAAAGACAAGGCCTTTTTGTATAAGTAAGTGCAGGGCCAGTCAACCTTACAAAAGAAGTTATTTAATGCTCAATTTTCCCAACTTTCCTAAGATTAAAAACTTCTAATCTCAAATGCCATCATTGTATTCTAGATTGTTTTCTTTTTCCATCCCCCTCCCCCGGGCAAATATTTAAATTGTTTCTACTCTCCTGGGTCCCCCCCACCCCCCCATTTTTTCAATCTGACCTTGAAAACTGAGGCGCTCTCCTTTTCTCTTACAAACTCTCAACCATTTTCAAGTCAAGGCCCTTTGACCTGTCTAGTACACGACTTTTGCTCGCCACACCAAATGCTAAGCTTGAAAGCCAAGAGGAGGTATTCTGGAGGAAGGGATGGGAAGGGGGTACTTGTATTTGGCATCAGTTCAGAAATTTGGAAAATGTTTGCACAACCATTCTTTCAGGCAGGATTCCCCCACCAGCACCGCGTTCTAGCACATTAATAAAAAAAAAAAAAAAAAAAAAAAGATGAAATCATAGAGTCCAGGAGAAACAGCTAAGGCTGTCATAACTGTACACCCGGGAAGCCCGCTGACCACCGTCCCCCATCCACCTCTCATCCCTCCCTTCATACATCCAAAGTGTAGGCTCCTCACTTCTTCTCCAACACCGAGACGGCCAGTTAAATTTGCAAAAGCACCGCCCATTAAACGGCTCAGGGAGAGACACCCGAACAAGCAAAGCAGCCCCTGCACGTCAGGGTGGGCAGCTCTGTGCACCTAAGAATCGAGTACGTTCTTTAAGTGGGAGGAAAAGTACAACGAGCGCACAAGCCTGGAATACATTAACTTGCGAACTGAATCCAATACACCCCAAGAGAATCCACCGCTCTCTCCAACAAAAGGGGATCGGGAGGAGGCACTTTACCATCCTGTCCTGAGCTCTCCAGATACTCGGTCAGGTCACAGCCAAACGCGCTGGCGGCTCCCTTGCGTTTCACCTTCTGCTTGGCACCCTTGTTCTTCATGAGTTAGTCCGCAGAGGCTGCCTCGGTGCCCCTCCCTCTGCTCGGCTCCGCGCGGACGGCGGGCTCGGGTTCGATCACGGGCTGCGGCGCGGC